ACACACAAGGTAATGTCACCTAAACATGGTCACCAGAGATGATAACTGTGTTGAGTGTGAACACACAAGGTTGAACACACAGAGGTAATGTCACCTAAACATGGTCACCAGAGATGATAACTGTGTTGAGTTTGAACACACAAGGTAATGTCACCTAAACATGGTCACCAGAGATGATAACTGTGTTGAGTTTGAACACACAAGGTAATGTCACCTAAACATGGTCACCAGAGATGATAACTGTATTGAGTGTGAACTTTTAGCAGAGATTCCTTACACGGTTATGGAAATTTGGTACATGTAGTATCGACTGAAACATGCGCTCGGTCCTAACTCAAGGCATTGACATGAATGCAAAGAGCAAACAGAGATTCCTATATCGGTGATATGTACAGATGACTATTTGGAGAATCCGAACAGAGCAAATAGAGATTCTTATATCGGTGATATGTACAGAGGACTATTTGGAGAATCCGAACAGAACTTGCAACCACCGTCTTTGGCACCAGGGCATGTTACCATAGATTCAAAGGCACCTGACGAGATGACGCCCACTTGAAGAAGATGTGGACTAACTAGATATATCTGGCTGAGACATTAAGAACATCGCCATAAATGCCAAGGGCTGTCTGGAACTGCCATGCCAGTGCCTTAGGACTATTCACATGTTTCAGAAACTTAAGGAGCTTTTACAGTGAGGTAGAGACCATGACGTTATTTATTGGGCTATACAGGTACTGTCAATGCGGTGTCTGTATTCCACCAGTTGCTGATGCCTGGTATCCAATTAGTTCCATTTAGTACAAACTCTTCCAAGATACACATGCAAGACTTTGAGAATGTGTCAAACATAGAATAACTATAGTAAGACTACTGTGACATGGGTGTTGCGAAATATATATAATAACCATATATGTCATGCTTAAACCAGCAGGACTACCCACACAGGGTCTTCTGACAGGTGAAGGCCGCCTGGTGAGGTCTGTGAAGGTGGATGTGGGATAGAAGCTGCTGTTGTGGAATGTTCTTTGCAGAGCGTCGTTAACGAATCTTGGCTATTCTTTGCCACTAAACGACATCTTGATATAGTGCAGGATGAGGTATCGTCTTCAGATGAGCGGGATGGTCTAATTGACATATTTCTTTGTGGATGCAGTGAAAGGACCCATTCAAGGAATGCAGAGTTGTTGTGACCACCCGGGGGGCGAATGTATCCACATGTAGATGGCACATGAGTACACACTTGGTTCCTGGTGGACATTGTGGCAACGTACAACAATAACGTGGCTTCATTGCTCACAAGTCTCTGGATTACCTGGTCCAGACAGACTGCAGTGTTCTGTCGTACCCATAAACAAGCAAATATCCGGTCTTGCAAAATACCACCGAGATAGTAACAATTATTCAACAAATTCTGAGATCCAGTTCCTCACTGAATTTATTAAAATTAAGTTCTTCTAAATATGACTTGATATGTAAAAATATTGTGAAACGGAATTTTCTCCTGTTTATTAATTAATAATCTCCTTAATCTGGAAAACTATTCCGACTAGTTCTTGCATGACAATTATACACAATGGACGGTGTTCGGGAACAGTGATTTACATATTTACGTAATTAAAAGTATTTTATATTCAAATTCTTTGCTTTCATATAACGTCTACAGTGGACAAATAAGTATAAACAGGGTTTAGTTGTTACCTAATGTATTTCCCTGTTCTGTCAAGACAATCTTTGTGAGAGACATATAGTCTATAGATGGTGGCTGGATTGTTTTATTGTTGACAAGATCGCGACCTGCACCTCAACAACCATGACGACACTATGGCCTGTCTCCTACTTCATAAGTATAACATCACCTACAGTACAGCGACTCCCGCCTGGATGGACTCGGCATGGCGTGTTCTTCATGGGTTTGACGGGCAACTCATCCGCCGTCTAGACGGTGACTACTAAGTCTACTGTAAACAATGAAGCTTTGATGTGGTATAAACCACAGGACAATGCCTCCTTAAGTGTCTATTCTTTTGATATAACAAACGATGCGTGAGAAATTGAGTTTGGCAAAGTAAATTAGTGTATAAAGCAACATTGAGGGTACGGGGACGGTCAGCAGCTGGTGATGTAGACCATTTAATTGGAGTGCCACTTGTGCTTGTTAACCTAATTCTGCGTGTTTCATTACATTTCTTCATTAGTCATTGATAGTGTGTGTTTCTACGTATTTCACTATTTAGCTCTCTACAAAGCGATTTCTGGGTTTCTGGGTTAACCGTTTCGTCTTGCATTACCTCGAAACACAGTCCCTTGTTCCATTTCAGTTTCATTCTGACATACTTGTTTTGTATACATGGTATTTCGACCTGGCGTATCCTAGACGGGTTTTCAACAGGCCTCATTAGTACATAGATGAGAGGAACAGTCGAGCTTCGTGGGAACCTACGGACACGTGCTGACAAACCAAGACATGTAATGGGGAGAACAACCACCCTTGCCCCTACAAAACGTCGCCGCATGTGTGTGTGCGCGCTTGGTCACAGCGCTGCCTTAATGTGTAAAATGTAGCATGAACGTCTACCTGCACGAGCATATATATGTATGGTGCTTAGGAACCAAGGGTCATACATAGGAAATCGTAGCTGCATACACACGCACGCACGCACGCACGCACGCACACACGCACACATACTGACATGGCTGTGCTAGGTGCCATATCGGAGTTAAGGAGTTGATTGCTGTTCGAGGATCAGCTGCCTCGAATATTCAGATATCAGTGTTGTGCAACAGGAGGCGTGTCACGCTTAGAAACAGCGTTAGAAAGACATATAGGTATATAGACCCTACCCTAGTACTATATGAAACAGCGTTAGAAAGACATATAGGTATATTGACACTACCCTAATACTATATGAAACAGCGTTAGAAAGACATATAGGTATATAGACCCTACCCTAGTACTATAATTGTGTGACACGCCCCTGTGTGTTGTGCAACAGGTTTGTCCCATGTCGTCGTACACTAAACAGGGTGTATACTAGTATCTCATTATCTGTGTCACATGCCTCACTGATGACTTATTCCCAAAAGTTCCCCAAACGCATATAGCAAAGCAACACCGTTTTCGCTGCACCTATATAACAGCTGACGCTGATGTGAATGTATCTACTACATGTATATGGTTTAAAAAGATCCATCAATTATTTAAATCTGTGCCCACAAAACCCCATTAAATATAGAACCTCATCCTCCGAAAATATCGAATAACCGATAGACCAGGGTAGTCTTGGTAGTGACGTAAAGGTGGATCAAATCACACCTCAACTGTCCAGACCCCGTTCCTCAAAGCGACCGTTCATGCCGTTGATCACTGGATTGTCTGGTCCAGACTCGATTATTTACAGACCGCCGCCATATAACTGGAATATTGCTGAGTGCGGCGTAAAACTAAACTCACTCACTCAAATCGACCGTAGCGCTACGACAGTCGTAAGTCAATGTTAAAGTATGGGAGCTACGATCACTTTGAGGGACGGTGCCCATGTCCATATTGTAATGAGGAATAGATAGAATTTCACTTGTTTACACAGCACAAACAATCCTTGGCGAAATCTGATTTAAATTAAATTGAAACTTTGATTTTCAGACTAATTTAGATGGGTTTTGCAGTAGGTATTTGTACACAATCTTAATGCAATATATACAGTTTTAGTTTTATGTCTATATCACATTATGCTACAGGTATTAAACTATTTGCTCTGTAGCAAGTTATTAGAATTTCCCTTTCGATTTCAGCAAAATACAATTTCGCAAGAGCACCTGTGTAAGATATCGATATGTCTATATCATCCTGAATAATTCAGCGTCAACTATGACAAACGGGGTTGCTCAGTGGTTGGTGAAGTTGCTTATTACATTCAGGCCCAGGGTTCAACAGTTCGTGTGAATAATTGAAATCTACTAAGTTGTCAATGAAAATCCCTCTAGGTTGTATAATAGGCTCTGAGATTGACCGAACATGCTATATACTGAATGATGCAGGTCACAGTTGGAATAGGAGATTGTGACTGTTTAAAGAGAGCAAGATGAACGGACGGGTGGATGAAGGTGGAAAGCAACTGCATGAAATAACAATCACAATATATTAGAGATTTTAGTCCCGAATGCCCTCCCTAGTAAAGAAAAATAGATATAAATGTCAAAGTCCGAGAATAAATTGATTATCCAATAATAACTGACATTGATTATCCAATGTGAAAATTATATATATGGATGACTGCAGAAACAGTGATGACACCAGGTGTTAGCCAAGACAGTAGCCATGTCCTGACAGAAAATAGCATCCACTAGTTGCATGATGTGTATATAATAAGTATGTTGTATTGCCTGACACCACACGACAGAAGTGACCACACAATCAAGTGATTGGCGGACGACAACATCCAGTGACATAACAGTGCATATACTGACTTGCTGAAACTAATGCAAAATGATAGGTACCAAATCGACTGCAATCCCAATACACAAATAACTAGATATGTGAGAACAGGTTATGTATGCTGACATAAAGCGTGAGCTCACTTCACAACGTCATCTATCAAATATGTAACAATGATCAATTTGCAAAAAGCAATATATGTAGGCTCATGATCTGGGGCTAGATGTTCGAAGCTCTCTTAGTGTTAAGATGGTGGTCGTAAGTGCGATACATTAACATTAACTTACGACTATCTTAGCGCTAAGAGAGCTTCGAAAATCTAGGCCCAGAACAGTATGTATTTTAATTATGAGAAGTATTTCTTGTAATCTAAGTTCCGTGAGTTACTTTGAGACTACATAGTTTGTGACAACTGTAGGCCTTCCGGCTTCAGCTCTCCATGGCCGCAGAACACGCTTATGTGTGACACACGGGAACTGAATTAGACAAATAAAGGAGATCGATCCACTCCTTTATACATACAACAGAATTTAGTACTTCCTTCACTACTTCCTCTCACACTCACCCTCAACCACGTTCTTCCTCCCTCTCCACGTTGTCTAATCCTCGTTTAACACCAATCACCAATCACCACCAGGACCCCGTGGACTTGGTCGGATCGATCCAATCATCTTTGCAAACAGTCTTCACTGAGGGCTTTATAGTGTCATACGAAACGATATCTCCCAGCCCGGATACCTTTCAGTTGATGTGCTTATGCTCATGTTTTGTGCTATTTACGAAATTGAAACACTTTATCCGTGCCTTCATCTATGAAATAATTGCTACATTTTATGTGTCACTCTGATCGTTTTGATCCTTGTACCCATTCATGGTGGAATATTTCTAGCTTATTGTTGCTGTCATTTAACCACTAGAGCGTGCATTGCAATCACATTGTTATTGATATTCTGCAGTATCACATAGCGTCTGAAAGAGGAGCGTCTACATAAAGACTTTAAAAAGACGCAGTAGGTTATTTTATAACCCATGCCTGATCTAACAGTGTGCGTTTAGGTGATGCATTAAGCATGGTTGGCTTCAGCAACAGTGTGTAGGCGAACAACCACTACGGATCAAATGTTACCGTATTGTGTTCATTTGAGCTTGTCGGTGACACTGCACTGCAAACAGATGGTATTTGAACTATTTGACTACAGTCCAACCGCCTTATCATGCAGCTTTTGCAATTTCAAACTCATTTACTGCAGAAACAAAACTGCTGCTAGATACACGGTAAAATATACGCAGAATTATACGTAACGCTGACGTAAACGCCATTGTGATCATGTACACGATCGTAAAATGATAACTTGACATAAAAACCATTGTGTATGACCAAACAACGTGATCCTGATTTTCTAAGCATGAAACACCTCACCTTTTAAATAACATGAATTTGACATTTTAATCTAAACAATATTGTCTAAGTAATGTAAAATTGTGTAAAAAGACGTAAAATCGTGTAAACGCTAGAACAAAGAGATCTAATTATACAATTTAAACAGTAGTCTAGAACACGATGACAGTTACTTCGGCTTTTAAGAGTGATAGAAAGAGTGTAACACGTGACTTACGTATCATATGTACACATCACATTTTGCAATTTACATACAACAATAAATCATTTGAACATATGGGTCTGAATGTAAAACCCGTCATTGTTAGCCGTATGAGACAGATAAGTACTTGAAATACTGCACATGGATACAATTGATAAAAAACCCTCATTAGGTGTGTGTATCAGATACAACATGTCACACTGAGTAAATTCTTCACAGTATAGTGACACATGATGCACATGTAATATACATTTATACACGGAATGAAGTAACTATATCCAACAACGGTTATGTCATCACGTTTTACGGGGCGGTTGGGTAGCCTAATGGTTAAAGCGTTGGCTCGTCACGCCGAAAACCCGGGTTCGAATCCCAACATGGGTACAATGTGTGAAGCCCCGCTGGTGTCCCCCGCCGTGATGTTGCTGGAATATTGCTAAAAGCGGCGTAAAACCAAACTCAGTCAGTCAGTCAGTAAGTCATCAGGTTTTACGACATATGCTGTCCTCAGTTAATTAAATTGTCTGCATTAAATGGTGATAGACAGTTGCAGGTGCCCCATGAGGTACTGTAGCAATACAGGTGCTCCTGTGAAAGTCTACTCCCATAGCACCACTCTACAGGAATCCAGGTAACCCAGTGTGATACATTCCAGGAACCTCGAGGACATTTATGTGCTATTCCAGTTAAATGCATGTATTATATCGTTAATAGGCAGTGAACCTCATTTAACATGACCGATATTTGTGTATATCTGATTTGACACGAGCCTAAAATTGTTTTTGCATGAATGTATCTGTTTTTCGACATCCAAACTGACATTGTCATTGAACCGTGGAGTAACATCGAGAGCATGATGCCGTATTAAACTATCAGGTGTCAGGTATTTATCAAAATTCAGACTCAGCTCCCATTACTTAGAGGTAGAAACTGGTAGATACCAAAACATAAATCTTGCTAATCGTAAATGTTTAATTGTAGAAATGATATTGAAAATGAGTTGCATTTTGTATTGAAATGTCCATCATATTATAATTATAGAATAATGTATATCATACCATATTATTACAAATGTCCATAGGCATTTCTGCTTATTCAGCTTCTTAGTATTAACAATGTTAGAGTAACGTATGTAACTTAGGCAAATATTTATGTAAGGCTAGTATATTAAGAAATGAGTTAATTAGAGTGCAGTAATTGTACATCCTCCTTTATATGTCCATTGTCACAATCTTTTAAAAAAACCCAAACCTGTACCAATACTGCTATTTGACCAATTATATGTACAGATGAAGGTAATAAAGGAATGGAATCGAATGCCGTGTTCAGCAGACTATTGTACTTAGGTCAGGGTATTGCACGATAATACTTGGACAAGGGCTGTTTTACTTCCAATAGTTAGGACAGGCTTTTGTACTTACAGGACTTGAACAAGGCCATGTTTATGTCTTTGATTAAGTTGCAACGTTTTTGTGGCAACACTCGCGGAGAATCATTCATATTATTTGCTTTTTACTTATTTGTGGACACCAGTATTGGAATGTGAGAGATGTTCCGGGGTCATCACTCTAGACGTCGTTGTTGGTACTGAAGATGACAATGTAGATGGTTATTGATGACATTGAAGATGGCATGGTACGTACAATTATTTATACTATGTTGAAAACAGCATTGATGAGGCTGCTGATGGCATTTTTGGTGACAATTGTTGATAACTTGTAGTAGATGACATTATCAATAACTAAACTGACCAGCAAAAGAAAGTATACCAAAAGTTGCCATTTCTCAAATTGTAGGTAAATTATACACCGAAACATGTCACCCCAACGTAGGAATTTGATACCTGTAGTGAAATTCACGTGCACGTCGTGAATAAAACGTCGACGTGGTCAATTATATAAACCATGACTTTGGGCCTCTGTCTGAGTTCCACATGCACTAAGGGTATAAAACTTAGGGTGCGGACAGGTTACACATGCAGTTTGAAAAAGATCACTACAGATATGCCCCGACTATCAGCAGTTGAACGTGAGAGGGCCTTGGGTATACTCCAGATGGGGTCGACACACGCCAACGTTGCAAGAACCTTCGGCTGCACCCGTGTAACGTTACAGGCAGACCAAGAAGTGGGAGACCGCGAGTAACAACACCAGCTGAAGACCGGCATTTGAGGACGTTACACCCGAGAAACCGTTTCCTGACGGTAACATCATCAGCGTCGAATTCCCTTGATCACCGTGTCAGTCGATACACGGTGGCAAGACGTCTTCGGGTACCAGGTATCAGAGCCTACAGGTCCTTAAAAGGACATGTGTTGACCCCTGAACACAGACGTCACAGATTGAGTTGTTCGTCGTTGGCAGCGACGAGGGGAACAACGTGAACGTTCTACAGTGGCCAACACGTTCTCCAGATATGTCCCCGATCGAGTACATGTGGGATGGACATGGGTAAGTATGTAGATCACATTATCAAAGCATTGTCGAAGACATTGCATACGAAATTTTTGATAACTATGCAGATCACACATTATTAAACACCTTGTTGAAGACATTCTAGATGGCATTATTGGTAACTATGTTGATGATATTGTTGATAGCTATGTAGATCATGTTATCAAACATATTGCAGATGACATTATTGGTAACTATTTTGATGATACTGTTGATAGCTATGTAGATCATATTATCAAACATATTGCAGATGACATTATTGGTAAATATGTTGATGATTTTGTTGATAGCTATGTAGATAATATTATCAAACATATTGCAGATGACATTATTGGTAACTATGTTGAAGATATTGGTGATAGCTATGTAGATCATATTATCGAACATATTGCAGATGACATTATTGATAACTATGTTGATGATATTGTTGATAGCTATGTAGATCATATTATCGAACATATTGCAGATGACATTATTGGTAACTATGCAGATGGCATTGTTGATGACATTATCGAAAACTCTGTAGATGACATTATTGGTGACATTGAAGATAATATTGTAGATGCTATTGATGCTATTGCATGGCTGATATGTATATTGGAGAATGTAATGTTCCAGTTGAATGAAAAACTAAGAATATAATTGATATATTAACACCGTAGAGTATATTATTGCGAACACGACAGCAAGACATGGCAGTAATTTCCCTCGTGGCACAATATACATAGCCTGCCGTATATACTTGCGTCCTTGTTGGGCTGAATTGGTTTCAATAGCGCATGCTGCACAAAGAGAGGAATAGTTAGGTTCGGACGGTTGATCGCTGATCATAGTATCAACCACTGGTTTACCTGGCCAGACTCGTGTACAGTCTTTCGTAAATACTGAAATCCTGTCACTTGTACAACAACATTCTCCCATTCACTCGGCATGACAGAGCACATGTTTAGATCGACTGCATTAAGATCATATTTGAATATGTTTGTACAGTGTTATTAATCGTAAAATCATGTCCATTAGCTCATAGGCATAATTCACATCAAGATGGCAATATTTCATCTGTCAGAGGTATTTTACAAACCAGTATTAAACATCTTAAAATATTTTCAAATATTTCCTTAAGGCCTGCAGAAAGGACATTAAAGTGGCGTTAATTCGCTTAGTGCTTCGTCTAATTCTGTTAAAACAGCAACTTAATGACGCTAATCAAATATATTGGAGCAAAAAATGTCTCAAGGCCACTCAACCATTCCGCTGAAACATTCTTCAAAAGAAGGATCTTTTAGATGAATATTTCGTTAATACTTTCATAGCAATACGCACCCGTATTTCGACCAACGCTAAGTGGGAGATTGAGCGAGGAGATTGAGTGATTCTGTATTTAACTTCACTCATGTTATTTTCGCAACATTTTATTCAATTTCAGAGCAGCCTACGGCAATCTAACGGCTATTGACGTGAAGGAGCCGCTGTAAGGAACGCAAGGAGTTACGTAAATTCCCCTTACTGTATCAACGCTCCCAACAGGGTCGGTAAACAAACCCGACACTTCGTGAAAAATTCACGAAGAAACAGTATTTATTGTCTTAATTTCAATACAAACACAATTGGGTTACTCTGCAACAGCACCAAACATGCCTTGACGTCTTTGAGAACGTGATGTTAGACTTCTCGTGTGACGTTAAGAATAGCAGAGACGCTTGTAATACAGCATTTCTTACAAAGAAGCAGTTGTTTCTCGACACAGAAGATATAGAATATATGTCAGACTGGTTTCCTTGAGCTATGAATGGG